CTGAGCTAACTAATAGTTGTGTAATAGTCTAAGGTATACTGTCTAGTGCACTCAAGCTGTCAATTAGGGGTGATATGACATGAGTTATGCATGCAGGACATGTAATCCGAGATTGAATCTGCCATCAATTTAGTTTGTATTTTTATTTTGGTGTTTTAGGCACATTTCATGTACGAGAAAGTGCTTAGTCATAAGCTTAGGACTGTTTTGGCGAAAATGTTTCAAAATCCCCATGAAAAAAACCCTTTGAGCATGAGTGTGTAATGAATGAGTTGCCAGTAATCGTATATTCGTGTTTGCGCAAAGAACTCTGGGATCGTCGGGGGGTAAACATTGCAAGTTGCTTGAAGGAAAATTAATGTATAGCGAAAAGTTGTTTTGAGGTACAAAAAAACGATTTTGGAGAGAGATCAACGCTTTTTCACCGTCGTTTTATCGCAAATGGATTTGAATAACCGTGAAATATGTGATAAAATCTACCGATAAACTCCCTTACATAACACGGGTATCCAATTGCTGGCAACTCATTCATTGGGCATGCTTTGAAGTACAGGCATACATTACTGGGAAATATGGCGTCATAATCAGCTTGGTCTTTTAAGCAATAGACCACAAGTTTTTATGGTTTATAGGCTGATAAACTACGCGGGATGTTGGAAGAATACGAGAGGAATTCGTAAATCACGAGCTGCAGGCGAGTGATTTAGGAATTCTTCGATTGTTCTTCCAACATCCCAAGTGGTTTATCAGCTTATAAACTATAAAAACTTGTGGTCTATTGCTTTAATATAATAATTCAGAAGACACGCGAAATCTCCATGAGTTTACTGGCACAAATAACCATAGCTGATTGACCAATCAGAACACGCGCATTCAATTAATTATTATATAATATCTGATAACTCACTGAAGTTAAATCAATTAATTACTTAGTCCTGATCCGGAGCAAACAGTTAATATGGAGTTGCTGAATGTTGAAGTGGATGAATGGGAGATTGCAGTTGACCGTATAGTACTTCAAGAGGTCATTGGCAGGGGGGCATTTGGAGCAGTCTGGAGAGCACTTTTGAAGGAACCAGATGGAAAACCTGGAAATCGGACAGTTGCTGCAAAATGCTTTACACGTAAGATCATTAAGCAGTAGGAAGACAAACTGATATTTCATGTGGTATTCTGTTCTGTAATGGGCATACTAATCTTATCTGTGTTGTAGTCAGGCAATCAATGACTGTTTTGCATTATTGCTCAAATAATGGTTTCCTTGTTTCTTTTAAGGAGCATTGGTGATATGGTAAATAAGTAAATAAGTAAGCAAGAAAAACTATTTGTAGCAGTTCAGTTGTCCAGTTAGGCTCCTTTTCACTGTAAACTCCATTTGCATAAGTAGTTAAATCTTGTCTCTTACGACAGGTTTACTGTCCTCTGTTTAGGCAGTTAAAGGTCCTCAAGACACTCAATTGAATTTTTTTAGTAATTGCTGTACTAGTATGCATGAGTAATCAAATGGTGAAAAGTGAAATTTGGAAATAATTCCATGTGCATTCTTTTTCAAAATTCTAATAATTTTCAAGCCTTTAGGGAAGTGAAAAAAGACATTTGACAAAACGCAATTGAAATTATATCTTAATATCACTAGTATACCGTTTGATTGCCTTTTAATATCATGGGTGACAAATTAAACTTACAGTTGTGGGTTTTTGACTTGTTCATTGTATCGAGAAATTTCACGCTAAACATTTCCATGACAATTTTGTAATTTCACATGTGAAATTGTACATTAACGCTGCAATTTCGTGCCAAAATTCAGAGCAATGAAGAAAATGATGGTAGTTAGAGTATTATTTCTGAGGACAGGGCATTTTTTCAATAGTATTTGTAGCTATAACTATAATTTATTTGCACCTTATTGTATTGTGTTTTTACATTGTAGCCACTTCTGGAGAAAATGGAAAGAAATCTCTGATGAGAGAAATCGAGCTGGGAAAACTCCTTGGAGAAAACCGTCAGACAAACATTGTTGAGTTTATTGGCTGTGTTACCACACGAGGTAAAACGATGTAATAATAGAGATAAAATGTTAATATAGGTTTATCTCCTGCTGTCACTACACTGAAACTTTTCTTTAAAGACGTACACATGAAAACTAAATTGATAATGATTTTTTTAGAAGTATCTTGAATTTAATTCCCGTGTTATCTTGTCAAGCAGGAAAAACACTTATCACTTAGTGATCAGACTGTTACAACTTGATTCTCTAGCACACTTGATTTTGTAACCCCTGGCGTCTGTAGCCACTGGGTTCTATAACAATGTTTTGGATTCCAGACTCCAACTAATGGATTTTGTAGCTACTAGTTTCTGTAACTTCTGGATTTTCTGTGCTGAGCCACTAGCTTCTGTAGCTACTGAATTCTGCAATCCTTTGATTCAATCTACAGCCACTAGATTCTTTAACAATGGATTTTGTAGCCACTAGTTTCTGTAACTATCAGATTCTGTAGCCACCTGATTGTGCTACCGGGTTCTGGAACCATTTGATTCTGTGGTCACTGGATTCTGTAGCTACTTGATTCTGGAACCATTTGATTCTATAGCGACTAGCTTCTGTAGCCACCTAGTTCTTAGGTACTGGATTCCAGAATCATTTGATTCTGTAGTCACTGGATTCCATATCCACTAGAGTGTGGAACCATTTGATTCTCCAGCGACTTGATGCCTTAGTCACTAGATTCTTTAGCTACTGGATTCTGGAACCATTTAATTCTGCAACCAATTGATTCTGTAGCCACTTGATTCGGTGGTTACTGGATTCCGTAGCCACTGGATTCTATAACCACTGGATTCTGTAGCAAGAAGTGACTTGAATTTTTTCTACCTCACCTGAAAAGGAGGATAATCCATCACAGTTAACCCCCAATACTTTGTCTTGTATTCATTCTTTTGTACTTCTGAGTAAGTAGGTTACGTGAGGGTTAATGCTTTACCCAACAAGACAACACATTGACATCTCAGTGGCCCAAACCTGGACCACCGATCCTGTATCCAGTACACTGATTATTAGGTTGCCTCATCTATCAAATTTCCCAAAAGTGTAGAGTATCTCAAGAGATGAATTGATTGTAGATACAGACTGTAAGTTTTGTTACTTACTTCTCTTGTAGTTCAACCAATCCTAGTCATGGAGTACTTGGCGCGTGGTGACTTGTTGGGTTATCTGAGGAAAAGCCGTGGAATTCATGATAAATATCATCTTGGACAGGGGAGTGTTTCAGAGCTGGAAATATATGACCTAGTGTTGTTTGCCAAACAAATTGCTGCTGGTATGGTGTTTCTTGGATCCCGAGGGGTAAGTAATCATCTAACCAATTAGGCTGCAACAAAATTCCACAAGCTAAGACTCTAACACTTATTTAAAAAAAAATCCTACTCAGTTAATTTTACACCACTTTTTAACAAACTCTGAAGCTCCGACTGGCAGTGCAGTATGTTTTTTTGTGTGTGTAATTTGGTTGACTTATTTTCATTGATGAAGTTTTCTACTGTACATAGTGTTAGGCCTGTGTTTAAGCCTCTTGGCCCACCAGGCCAGTTCTTTATCGCATCTACAGTTTCTGCAGTGTACGTTACTAGGAGTATTTGCCCCACCCCCTGGGAGGGATGCTAGTCCATCACAGGGCTACCCACGGCATAATATTTGCTGGTACCCATTTTATGCACCTGGGAGGGAGAGGCACTGCAAGAGTAGTGTGTCGGCCAAAGGCACTACTGAATGTTCTCAGTCAGGCCTTGATCCCCCGACCGCTCGATCTGGAGTTCAGCACAGTAACCCACTTACGATAATATGTACTGGGAGTAGAAATATTAGTGGTAGTGAATTGTTGAGTGCCTTCAATTAACTTTTCAACATTCTGACGGCAGCTTTTGCAATTCCTTTTAGAGTCTAATTCCTCTCCTATCCCTGGATTGCAATACAACGCTGACTTCTAAAGATATGGTTTATATTGAACTCCTCTGGTTTCAAAAAAAAGGGAAAGGATGTAGGCTTTCTGTAAAATTGATTTATTAAAAAAAATACAATAACTAAATGTTACCTTCTGACAGGTGGCATCATATTCAAAATGTAAAATAATATATTTTTGTAGATAATCCATCGTGACCTGGCAGCTCGTAATGTTCTTCTTGATGACAACTT